AGGCTTCATTGTAGATACAATACATGAACATATTGACTAGATCTGAATTAAAAATCCTCGTGGCCATCAAGAAAAGGACAATGGGATAAGCAGAAAGATCTAAACAAAGCTTCTGAACTTGGGCTAAAATATCAAATTTCATGGGTGTGTATTGTGAAAACTACACTTCTAACTATCTGTTCCCCTACCCACCTACCTCCAACTCACTCTGAACAGTAAAGGTCCTCTCTGACCACTTTCGGTTAAGTATAAATTTTTAACTCAAGTGTGAGTATATGTATTTGTACAATAAAACTTTATGATTTTGAGGTAAAGTGTGTCAGAAAGAAAACTCTTTATACGCATTTTTTAAAAAAATTTATGATGGATACCAAAGACTTAAGAAAAATAGAGTATTTCTGCCCTGGCTGGTATGACTCAGTGGGCTGAGCACCAGCCTGTGAACCAAAGGGTCTCCGGTGCAAGTCCCAGTCAGAGCCCATGCCTGGGTTGTGGGCGAGGCCCCCGGCTGGGGGCACAAGAGAGGCAACCACACACTGACGTTTCTCTCCTCTTTCTCCCTCCCTTCCCCTTTCTCAAAAGGAAGGAAGGAAGGAAGGAAGGAAGGAAGGAAGGAAGGAAGGAAGGAAGGAAGGAAGGAAGGAAGGGGAAAAATTTTTCCTTAAAGCAGAAATAGACTATATGTCTAAGAAATGTAGACATATAGTCTAAGCAGATACCTTAATTTTTAAGATAAGTGTTTAAAAAAGAATTTGACAATGGGATAAAAATAGATTTAACAGCTTGATTACACTGAATTACATTAATGATATGAAGTGATTAAAGGAAGCACTGTGTGTGTGCTAGAAAGAACACTGAATAGGCCTACATGTTGGCCTGGGTCTACCCTTAATCACCTGTCTGACCAGGACTAAACTCCTAACCTCTATGAACTTTATATGCCTGTACTTAAAGAGGGGATTTTCCAACACGATATGTAAGGTTCTATCCAATTTAGAAAATCCCTTTATCCACAGAAAGCTTGTGTTTATGAGTAAATGTATACATGTAATAGGTATGTACCTTTTTAAATTTTATATAAAATTCTATAAAATAAATTTACACTATATTGGGTCTTCGATTTCATAAATTCCTACTTATGTCATTGTGGGTGACTCTATATCACTGGGTTTCAAAGTTAGTAAAATTTCATAGATCGCAGCTACATTTCTTTAAGTAACACACAATCTTCATTTAGGGTTTATATCACATTAAATATACAGAGAATGGAGCTCACAGATCAGTCTGAAGCATTTTAGCATTATGTGTATTATGAGAGGTTAGATGCAATCCTTTGAAATATTTTTAAATGTAATCTGTAAAAAAAAAAAAGGTTTATTTTGTGGTCAAGAAAGAATACCCTAAATGCAGGTGATGATTAATGATCATTTGTACCAACTCTCAAAAAGCATGTTCAAGGTTCAACTCATTGCAGGATTTTCTGCTTTTTAAAGGATGATTAATATTCCATTGTTTGCATGTACCACATTTTCTTTACCTATCTGTAGATGGACGTTTAGAATGCTTCCACATCTTGGCTATTGTGAATAGTACTGCAGTGAGTATGGGAGTGCTCATATCTCTCTGAGATCCTGATTTCAACTCTTTTGGATGAATATCCAGAAGTAAGATTTCTGGATCATTGGGTAATATGCCAAGTGAAATAAGATGTCGCAAAAGGACAAATACCACATGATTAAATCCATAGGAGATATCTAAAATAATCAACTCATAAAAGGATAGGACAGAATAGTGATTGCCAGGGCCTGGGGGTGACGGGGAAGGTAAGGAAGATAATCAACATGTATAAAATTTCAGTTATGCAAGTTGAATAATTTCTCAAGATCTAATGTACATCATACCTATAGAAAATAAAACTATATTGTACACTTAAATCTTTTAAAGGGGTAGATCTCATATCGTCTTCCTATCAAAATAAAATTTTCTGAAAATAATAAGACTATTCTTTAGGACACCTTTGCTTATTGTGTTCACACATCAACTTTAAAGTGCAGCTCAATGGTCCTTGTAGGATATTCTAGAGACCATGACAGAACAAAGAGCTCTGCGCTCGCTGAGTAATGAATGATCTGCCACAGTGCCCATACTATGCCCCTGTGGGCTCCTCTTTACCACTAGGTAGAACCAACTCAATCTTCACTGCATTTTTTGACCTGTTACCGAGTGAAAACCCTTCATTCTAGAACTTGGTAACTTTGCACGGGTATAAGACTGGACCCAAACTTTATTTACACCCAGGTCTACAAAATTTAAGAGCTGAGGGGAACCTTGTCATTTATAAACTAAGAAATGAAAGCTTTTGGACCTAACCAGAGAGAAATCCACAGCATTTATCACACTCACTTTGCTTACTTTAAAATATATATTGCTAGGGAAAAGTTGACTTTCTGTTCATTATATGGAATTTTACATAGAGAATAAAAATGGGCATTAAGGAGATTTCTTCCTCTGGGAATATGCTTTATATGATTAGTCTAAACACTAAATTATCAGCAAAGAAATTGGACACAGTCACAAAAGATATCTGATGTACCTGGACTTACAACTGCCAACTATATTCTTTTCCAATTTATCCTAAGACAGGTGGACATATTTGTAAAAACTTGGGAATAAAAAAAGAACACCTTCTAATCAATGCACAGTGAGCAAGATTTTAAAACTGAAAATCAAGTGTTCAGATATTGAGACTAATTTATGCAGTGATGTTAGCTTGTTTCATTGACTTGACCTTGCAAATCAGCTAACATCATGCAATCAGAAATAGTTTCTTCAGGTAAATCTCATAATTATTTGTAATAGTCCCTTTAATATCTAATAAGAAATTACATATCCTTTGTGTTTTCCAGCCTAACTCAGCCTTCCACAAGGAAGTCCTTTATATGATTCTCACTGTCTATGTTCATTTCTATTGTGTTTATAGAAGTAGTTGCAACTGGTGGTTCTATGATATTTATTTTAGCTGTAAATGAAGGCATCACTCTCAAATACAGAAATTTAACAGAAGTATCATTTTTGAATTGAGAGCTATTGTATTCTTTGCATATTTCCAATAGCATATTTCAAGCAATAGATTTTCTTTGCATTAAAGTGATTTGGACACACAAATAGCTGTTCAGTTCTAAAACATTTTTCCATTTAACATCTCTGAAATCAACAAGAATCTGATGTAAAATAATTGACAGCTATTTTTCTTTCTTAATGGTACATATGATAAGGGGGAATCCACATAAATTTAATAAAATGTGATTTTCCTAGCCATTTTTTGTGGAGGAAAAAAAACTTCTTTGATAAAAAAAAAATAGCAATGCATTTAACAACATATGTATGAACACTTTACACATGAAAAGTTTTTTTAATCTCTTCTCTATGTAAGGGCTATGTCTTTAAATAATCACACACATATCAGTTGAAGACTCTTCTGATTTCCCTTCAAAACCTCTAACACAGCTGTAGATTTTTAAAAATCAATCTTGTAGTCATTTTCACATTTGTAGTTCTTTTTCAGTAAGATAGCATTCCTGCTAGTATTTCAATGTTGACCTGAGCCTCAATTCCCACTCAGAGGAAAACTAAGAAACATCTCATTTTCTCTTTTATTTACATTCCCAGTTGCCTCTGAGATGGTATAACCATGTATAATGTTCACAGTAAAATTATATTTTTTAGTTTTTGGAACAGAGAAGTTTTTAGTCAAGAGTCCTAGCACAGTCATACTCTGAGTCCAATATAAAAAGAAAAATGGCAGAAAAAATTAAAAATAAAAAGTATAGAAGAGCAAAGGAAAAACTCTATACATAGTACTTTATTTCATGATACAAATAATCCCTCTGTTAAAAGAGTTTTAACATATTTATAGTTTGAGCATGGAGACAAGTAGATTTATTTCATTTAATCGCATGATTTCCAGCCAGATGGTTGGCCAGTGGCAGAAAAAGAAAGGCATTCTTATATACAGCCCCGACAGCCCACATCGTCATTTAACGAGCAAAAGTAGTTTAAAAACCAAAGATTTAAAAAGACCTAAAATGTTTTCCCAAAGCATCTTTGCGCCAATGTTTCTGTATCTTCTACTGCATCATAACCAGTCTTTGTACATCCATTTAAACTACTGTTTACTAGCTATCTGTTTTCCCTTAGCCACTTGTGAAATAGAAATAATCACCAAAATGTGGAAAGAACATTAGCAACTAAATGTTTAAAAAGCTCATTTTTATAAAATATTAAAATGCATGACTGTCTACACATCTGTAAAGGAAACCAACCTAAAATCAGTAGATTTGTTCAACTCCTCAACAGAACATTTCCCAAGAACCTCTGCCTCAAAGGACCAACAACGTTTTCACCAAGACTTCAACCCATCGAAACAATTTTATAAGGAAAACACATGGCAAGGCATTAAATTCCAGAAAAAGCATACTTTACATTCACCAGGGAAAAGGAATGAAGCCCCAAAGTAAAAACTGTCAATTACTATCATCACATTGTTGCACTGAAAGCATTCAATTACATCACAAAGAACTTTCTAATGTACTAATTTAATTAAAATATGAAATCTTCCAAATACCTACAGCTTTCCCTACCTCAGAAATTAACAAAATTTTTATTTAAATACAAGTCCTTTCTTTATATTCACCAACTACCGGCATAATGTATATGAGTAGTACTATCAAAGTACTTTCTACATCTCTTCATTTTTCTCTTTTTCCTTTCAAAATTATTTTACATTCTTAAAAAAATCTGCATCTTTTATTGTCACACTTAAGAATCTGGATAATATGATGGCCATTATGGAAAGTAATCACACTCCACAGTGATGAATGGCTATTTACAGAATGATTTCTATCATTTAAAAGAGAAAATGTAATTGAGACTTTAAATTACAAATAAAATGCTACAACTCAATGACACTGACTAGCTATGAGCTTCTGGAAGTCACCCACCTGGGGCAGCATGCGATTCTCTTCCTCCAGCTGTCTTACTCTTGCCTCCAGCTGCCTAACATAGGACAAGGTTGATTCTAAAATTAAAAAGAAAGAACTCACATTATACACACAGGTCTTGTTCGGTGCACTGTCAGGATATTTCTAGCTTGACTTATTTAAATCAGGTAGTGACTACTAAGGCTGTTATTTTTAAAAAAAGAGAAAAAAATTCTCCCCAGAAAAACAGTAACAGAAGCTATTGAAACTATAGCAGTTTGAACAATTGTACAATGGTAAGAAAAATTAGAGAAATTCATAGGTGGTGAGATTGTTGGCTTTTGTGCACCATGTAGCCCTCAGAACATGAGACATGTTGAAGACAGTTATTTCCTCTTTTCTGTTTATTTTGTGAAATTTGAGCTTTCAAGGAGCTGTCCCACACATAAGACTTTTCTGTAATGTTAATTATAACCAAAATAAATTACAAGCTCATATTAAAAATAGAAAAAATATTTCAAATATCAGCTCCCTTCATTTTTCCAGTAAACATTTCAAGTGTTAAGACCAATGTTTTGTTCTTGTCACAAATCTACAGTTATTAAGAGACTATATTTAATTCAGAAAATGGCTATGAAAGGGCTAAATAATACAGTTAGACTGAATTCTCACTTTCATTTTGGCTGTGTGTGTGACAGAGACCTAATTTCTCCCAATCTTCAGGTTAACTAGTGGCTGACTTAAAATTGATGCTTGTTTTAATTTCTTCACAAGCTCAGGTGTGTGCTGAAAGCTCACAGCCAGCATCATGCTTCTGTTTCTGTTCCTAGTGAAACTGGAAAGTTTATAGCTTTACATCAGGAAAGGGGTTTCATTTTCAGAAACAATCTGACAGTAATTATTTTTCATTAAAGTGAAAATGTTCAAGCACATCCTATGGCAACACAGCTGCAATTCATTACCCATGAACAAATATTTCAGGTATAGTAAAACATACATAACAATAGAATCCGCAGCATATTCCCATAGTTAGTATTAAAGCAGCAGATCCCCCTCAGTGCATTTGAGAGGCAAGTATTTAGTGCCCCTAACAACCTGGAGTTAGGATGAATATTGATGCAAATTAATAGCTTGATCTGAAATTCATCATGAAAACTCTATAATTTTCTATGGAAATTGATTATATGACCTCAATTCCATATTTGTGACCTTCAAATCAACATTTTGTTCTTAAAATACATAAGAACCTCCACTCCTTCATTCACAAAGGTAGCAACTAAGTTCATCCCTGAGCAGTTAACAACAGCCTATTTCCACAAATGTTTGCAGAAAGTCCTTATCACTGACATTACTATAACCACCCACTGATCTCACACCAATGGAAAAAACAGCCTTGAGCACACCTCATACAAGACAGAAACACAACAGTGAAGGAAACTGAAGGCATGTGGTAGAAATAGGGGGCTGTGGGGTTTGGTTTTTGTTTTTTTTTAGCTCAATGAAATGTTAAGAGTTTGCTTAATGGAGTCTTCCAAATGGAAAAAGAAGTATAAGGCATAAATGAATAACAAACTTATTTCATGAATCTACTTTACTCTAGCAGATGAATAAGTAATTTGCAGATCATCAAAATATGAATGTAGATTGCCTGATTTACAGTTTTGCAAGTCCCACTTTCTACTCTAGAAAACCCGCCACTTGAGAAGGGGCCATCTAAGTGAAAATTTGTTCAGGAATATTCCATTTAAACACCAAAAAACACATTTCTTTTCTTTGTTCACAACTTACATCTTACCTTTACTGTCCCTAAACTCCACTATCCCTGAGGCTATAAAACTTAAAGCAGCTGAAAAGACTCTATACAGACTGACTTAGATGACATTTGAAAAATGCCACTAAATGGATTTCAATACAGTAATTACCTCAGTCACTTGAATTTAGTTCTCTTTTTCAAAATCTTTGCGGCTTACATATTTGATGTGATGCTTTCACTAAGTTTCTACTTACATTTCAAAAGTTATGTCAGTACAAAAAAGGTGGGTGGAGAATTCCAGAATTTGGAAAATATTTCTTTCTCCAAGTTTTAATGTCAAATTATAGTAAATGAAGTTCAAAGCTTTGTTTCAAAGCACTCACTGCAAATACAGGCAAATATAGGAAAAGCTGGGGCATATTTCAGACAGGTAAAATAATGAAAAAAAATAGCTTTATGGTGAAGACAAAGCTAAGGAGAGTTTTGAGTTCATTCATTAAACTAATCTTTATTGTGTCACTGATTTTTGTCAGACATTGCTCTAAATTTAGGATGAAAAGATGACCAGTTTTGCCAAGCCTTAGTTTTCTCAGGCTTGGGATTCCATTTTGGGATTATATGACCATATGCTGTGTTCCAGAAAGTTCTGTTGTTCCGGGCTCAGTCCTAAGTCTCTTGCAATTATTATTTAACAATGAAGGGATAGAACAAATAAGAAAACTTCTGGGGATGGGAGGGGAACAGGAAGAAGAGCTGATTTGCATGCATAAATAAGAGAACTCATACTGTTTTATTCATCAAGAAACTGATTATGTAATCCTTTAATGGGAGTGGAGTAAGCAAACATTTTTCTAAAATATACTATAAAGTCATCAATGAGTCCCCAAGTCCCTTTATGAAGAGCCACTGAGGAAACCACCCAACCCTTTGACTGTGAAGTGAGAGAAAAACAAATATTGTGTTAACCCTTAGGATTTCAAGGTTTATTTGTTACTGCACCATAGCCTAGCTAAGCCTAATTACTAGTACATTACCAATAATGGGTAAGAAAATATGTAAGCATTTGTAAATAAAACATAATAAGATAAAGTGTAACAAACTCCATACTTTCAAAATATTCACATCATAATCCACATCCCAGTCCTAGGTGATCATTATTTAAAAAAAAAAAAAAACTGGTTAAAATCTTGTATATAAGGAAGAAAAGGAACCCTTCTGTGCCAGAGGAACGTGTCTGGCCATGGCTGCTACAGCCCCTTCCCCATGGTGCTTCCTTTTTCTTCCTTCTTTAAGGGGTTCCCAGAGTAGCATCAACAGCAGAATAGCTGGTCTTGCACTGAACCCAGGGAACACAGTTGTGCACTGACCTAAGAGAAGTGTCTGACAGAAACTGGCGTCCTTTCTATTTATAAAGTGATACCCAGGCACTCACACTCCCAACTGCGTCAGAAATATCCTATAATTGGAATTGATCATTATATTTTATACCAGTGGCTGACAGCTGCTAAAATTGAGATTTCAGAATGCCATTTTGGCTTTCAGAATGCTGAGAATGGCATCAAGGCTCCCCAGAATAACAGCCAAATACTAAGCTATATTCTACATAAACGTAGAGTGTGAAAGAATGACCCCATCTTCAAGAAGTATATTACCAGTTGAGGGAAGAGAAAGCAAAAAATAAAACAGTAAGGTAATATACAATTCAGTGCTGAATCATGTGAAACAGCAATATAAAAGAGGGTGATATCGGCCATAGTTCTTTTGAAGGAGAAACCTGAACTTAATGGATTGACAGTAGTTTGATGGTCAGAGATGTGGACAAGGGCTAGAAACCAGGAGTGATCCTGTCGTAAACAGGGAGAGAGAAAGGAATCACGAGAAGAAAAAGAAAGGGAAATACTGGGGAGCAAAAGACAGAAAGGCCAGGTTGCTTCCACAATCATGATCTGAAAAGGCAACGTCAAGACACAGATATGTAGCTGGTGATTTTAATCTCCCCAAAAGTTATTTTCCCTTTCCAGCAGGGGAAACCTATGGACACCTACACATTCGAAAAGCAAGGTTAAGTAAACAGTGCCAATGTGAAATTACAACTACGTTCTCAGGATGTTCTTTGGGAAATCTTATGCATGTTTTAATAGCAGAAACCATTTCTCTCCAAGTTTCTCACTGTTCTTTGAACATACATGTAACAGTCCATAGCACCTCTTGCAATAAAACAAATGTAAGAAATAGTCACAAGAATTCCACTAAATTCACATGTTATAATTATTCCAATTTTAGAACTGGAATGCACCTCAGAGACTTCTAATAAACCTGTCCTCAATCCCCTGACTCATTTGCAAATGAGACAATAAGACCCAGAAGGGTCTAGTGAACTTGGCCTAACAACACTTGGGATCAGTCAAATACATTCAAAAGGTGGTCCCATTGCTGGAGCCCCACAGTGATTCCCATCATTGTGGATCTTATAATCATTAATATGTCAAGCTTCTTACATACATAGTGAAATTCTAAGTTCTCTCCTTTTCATCCTGATTTTAGATATTCTGGAGGGGTATTTACCTTTACAGTAGCTTGATATTTTCCTTAGACAAATATCCTGGACTTGATTTCACTTCAATTTACTTGAAATGCACTCGATCATACGGAATAGCTCAACTTTTTCCTCAGCTAGTTTGAAAATACTCTGATCAAAATATGAAACCCCTTTATTTCCTCTTGGTTTTTAAAGCACTGTTTCTCTCTATAGGCAAACACCCATCCTTAAAATCACCCGTGAAGGACACTGATTGTTGTACATAAAAGGTTTATTGTTGGTAGTTGCAACTCTCTAAAGTTTGTCAAACTGCTGAGTGGTTTTGATCAGATGAAGTGCTGTCTGGTCGCCAAAATTTCAGGGCAGAAAATAAAATCCGGTAATGGTCCATTCCAAGAAGAATTACAGCGTTTGGGAGGGGTATACAGGAGGAAAATCATTTGGGGACCATAGCAGCCAGGGGTTTACAGATGTAAGCTTTCCTGTGGCAAAGAGTTAGTCCGCCTCAGCCAGAGAGAGTCCCACAGCACTTACTTGAAACCCAGAGGCCGTATCTCTTCAATAAACCCCAAACTCTGAAGACACCAATTGTGTTAGTCCCAAATTAATCCCACCATCCACAGGCTTTAACACATTCCTAAGGAAATTACTTCAGAATTATATGTCAAACATTATTACTGTTCTGACTAAAAGTATTTCTCTTCCTTCCTCAGGCAAGCAAAGTTTAGCCTCCTACTTCAAATTTATATTAGCTCCAGAAGTATAAGTGATTACATTTCTCACTATAATTTGATAGTTATTTTTTT